CGTGCGTGTCTATTATGTATTCAATTACCTAAAAATTTGGCATGATTTCTATTTATACGTAGTATTCTCTTAAAAACCAGGCAATGCTTTCTGATAATGCTAATATAAAATTGCTTCATTTTTCCTTATTCCCAATTCGTAAAGCTCTTGGTAATCTAAAAATAGCAATTAGCATACTCTTAAATATATATAGAATAAGAACAAGAACATACTCAATTTGTATAGCATCGATAACATGTTCAGCACATCGTGAACTATATTATTGTACACAATAACCACCATAAAATATTTTTCATTTTTAAGTAGGTGTTTATGAATATGTGATGGAACAGTTTCATAATCATGGAATTGTAAATGACCACCAAGCGAAGTAGTTTTACCATAAAGTAAATCAGCAAATAGGATACTATTCGATTTTCTATTATATAAAGCACGAATACTTGATCCAGGAATCTCAGGATGTTCGTTGATCTGTAAGGTTGAAAGTGAGAGTGTTTCAGCCGAAATAACATAACCTATCTCAATAAAATGTTCTGGATGACCGTGACCTATAAAAAAAACAATAATAAAGTGATGATTAATTCTTTATAGGATGGTACAATAAAATATAAACATACTACCATGAATGTCGATTAAAAGTCCATGACCAAAATTTGTTTCGACATCTTTAATAGCGGTCTTAATAAAATTATGATAATCATTCCAAGCAGCCAAAGTTATAGAATTTTTTCCTTCAACACCTTCTTTTATCGGTCTATTAACATCAATTTTACTTCTCCTGAGGTGATTAATAACTAAATAAGGCCTCTTTCCTTTAAAATCCACTATAATTTTATCAGCAAGCTCTCTACCAATATCTTGAGTATTAAGATCATTGGATTTTACAACACTTGGATGGCTTTTTTTTCTATCGGGTATTTCAGGAGGATGTAATCAACCACCATGTGGAATTGAAATAATTAAAGGTAAGTAACCAGAAATATATTCTCTATAATTCATGGAGCCGAATATTGGTTCAGTTATGTTCATTATAATTTGAGTGTAATCAATTGACATGGAGTTGAAAAAAAATTATCAAGAAATCAACTTAAGGTATAAAGAAATGTAAATATAATAAAAATAAAAATCATTAAAGTAAGAATTTAGGATTACTAACTTAATAACCATATTTCTGAACTTTGTAAAGAAAATAATCTAAACAAGAATTTTTTAATTGAATTAATAATACAGTAACTGTATTATTATATTTAGATGTTAAAAATTAAATCGAATTTGAAAAAGATATTTACATTAAAAAAAATTTTTGTAATATTATGTATTAACTGATATTATAAAAATTAGAACAAATGTTTATCTTGATCAAACTTTAAATGAAAAAAGTGCATTATTCTTGTAAATTTCAATTTCAATTTATTTTCAATTTATTAGTTCTATTTAATTGAAATGAAATTTTTATTACAATTATTATTAAAATTGTTATTTTAGTACTGTATCTATAGTAATAAATTGATAATTTAAAGTTTAATTTGGTTTCGCAATTAATATCTTTATGCTTGGAACTTTCAACAGACAAAAAATAACAAATCCCATGAAGCTAAAGCAATACTATTATAATCCAATCTCATACATTTTTGAGTGTTTGGTTGTCTAATTGACTTGGTAACTTTTTTCCTTCAACCAATTCTTTCATGTATTTCAACTTTGCATCAAGAGAATTATAGTAGATTCTGAGGCATTTGTTTTCAGAATCTTGGATCTTAAAATTTTTAGCATCTAGTTATAAAATATAAAACAGGTATTAGCAGTTTTACTTAAGGAACAAAATTATATATTATAATATAATCATACACTCTTCAATTATTGCATCTCTATATTTCAATCTCATTAAAAGTTGCCTGTGGTAATTATTCATACTTTTAGTTTATAAAAACAAAATAAAGCAAAAATTAAAAAAATCAGCCTATACTCCATACATTTTCTCATTTTCATTACTATCCAATTTTTTCGTAGCTGATGAATTTTATTGTTTAAGTCAAACATAATAGTACCAAAGTTAATGATATGTTTTGTTTGACACTTATTCAACCTTTTAATAATAAAAATTAAATTGTTATAACAATTTCTTGGATTAAACTTAAAAAATTATCAAGATTCAGGAAACGTGCCTTTTCTGTTTATGATTTACACGCATGAATTTAGAAAGTTTCCTATGGTACACATTCATACTTTTTTTAGCTTGCTTCAAATAAGAATATTGGTAAGAAAATAAAGAATATTTTTACATTTTCAAGCTAACGTTTTCAGCAGTTAACAAAGATATTTCATTTTCTTGATATCTTAAATCATCTTTCAAAAGAAATATAGTTTATTAATATTTATTGAAATATTTTATTTTTAAACAAAAAAATGAGATCACCTATATTAAGCAAGTTGTCTTTGATCACTTTATAGCCTAGAAAGCAACAAATTTAATTACTGGACACAATGAATTATTTTTGTTTAATACCAGTCAATAGAAATAAAATTGTACTCTTATCCTGGTAAGTGAAAGACATTATTGAAATAATAGTTTTTGGTGATTTTGGAAGTGAGAGTTCAAAAGGATTTAGTAGAGTTTGCCCTTCATCAGATAAAGTTTGAATGAAGACTTTAATGAGTTTCTCATTGTAAATTGGTTCGCTCCACAAAATCAGTATATTTATTCTACACCATTGACGGTTTAAAGTACGTATGAAAATAAGTTTTTATAATCAAGAGCATTAAATATTATAAGGTAGCATTCAAGAGACAATATTATCATTTTGAAAAACAACAGCAAGAATGTAGGATTTATATATTTTTGACATTGTACAGTTGTACATTAGGGATCTTAAAAACTATAGCTAAATATGAGCGTTTTCCTATTTGAATTTCTAAAGGAAACAAGATCATTTATAGAATAAACCAATCATTTATGGAATAAACTAATCTTTTATTAATAATTTAATTTGTTGTCAAAATAATGCTTAGAATCGAAAGAATAATTAATAGTAAATAAGGAACCTTAAATAAACTCTATTAAAAGTCTGCTACAATATTTTAAACCGAGATTTCGGTAT